ATTCGGTGGCGCCCTCTTCGCAAATGCGCACCCTTTGCGGACAGAGTCACCCTACTTGTATTTTAAAAAATCAAAATGAAACTGACAAGTTTTTAAATATATAAGAATTCAAATTTCGGAAGACAAAAAACCTCTTCCGGCGGAAGGGTTGACTGTTTTCTTCATTTAATTTGACTTTAGAATGATAGGCGAGAGGTCATTAAAATAAAACAAAAAAACCTAAAACTCCGCACTGAACTAAAACGAACAGCTGATGAACAGCAGTCGGTCTGCGCACGCAAGGAGGTGCTTTCCTACTCTTCTTCTGGAGAAGCGAAAGAGAGCTTCAAAGCTGACTGCAACGCCATCTGAAGCAAAGAGCACCAGATATAATTTAGACTTTGTATTGAAAAAAATAGGCTTTCAAGTATAAAAACATATCTACTGGACTGGGGGGATTTTTTAAGAGTTGGGGCAGAATTGTCTGGCTCATTCATGATAAATATTGTGAAGTTGTGAGACTTGTCCATCTGCGTACATTGGTAGTGCCTTTCTATTTGGTCTGTGATTTTAGTTTCAGCTTAGAAACGGTCTGGAAGTCGCTTTACGTCGGCAGAAAGACGAATATAGTTGGATGGGGGCTGTACAGAGTAATTATGTCAAGGGGACTGTAACAGTTTGATGGAATCGGCAATCTAATTGTATCGATATTGTAAAAAAGTGCGCGGCTCTGATAGTTTCCCTTCGGTTTGTGCCACTTTACCCCCTCAATCTGGCCAGCCCCGCCTACAAATCGAACCGAACCGATCCGATTGGGCCAATTGGCACCCTCCCCTTTAGATCTATTAGCTTAGTGTCTGATCAGATCAATTCTTTTGTTTAACAATAAATGTCTTTCTTGATAAAGAAGTTCCTTCTCTGCGCTGCAACTTCAAGCCGCGAGGCAGCAAATTGTCGAAAGTCTCTTTGTGAAAAAAAACTTCTGGGAATTCTAAAGAACCACACAGTGTGAAGAAATGACGGATGTCATACGAAGCGTGGCTGTATATTATGACATTATCCTATCGAGGTCAAAGCAATAACTCTCGCCAATTAGCTAGAGAAAAGTTTCCATTAAGAAACGCGTAATTGAATTTCGGTTGATAATATAGAGACGGTTTTCAGATCCCTTTATGTTTTCGCACAAGTAACTACATCTTCTTCAATTCTCCCTTTTTTCCCCGTAGTCATTTCCAACCTGAACCCTAGCCCTCTTTTCTCCCCTCATTCTTTGTCCGCTCATTTTCCCTATTCTCCAACACACACACACGCACACCCTCTCTCTCTCTCTCTCTCTCTCTCTCTCTCTCTCTCTCTCTCTCTCTCTCTCTCTCTCTCTCTCTCTCTCTCCCACTTACCTCTCTTCGTTCTCCTGAAACTGCTCCACCTTGGACGTGTCCTTGACACTGCTATCCTTGCCAGCGTCCTTGGCCTTGGCGGACGATTTCTCGGAAAAGAACCGCCCCCGCCTGACCACGTCCCGGGGCCGCCGGACCTTCTCTGAGGCCGAGGACGGCCGGTCACGTGACAGACTGGACATGACGTCACGCCCAGGTAATCCTCACACGCACAGACAGGCAAACACAAGTACGTGCACACACGTAGGCCTACACGATCACAAAACCGCCGCTTGAGGGAAAAGTAATTATTCTAAACTGTCCTTTTTTACAAGTTCAGAGGTGTGAGATCAGTCAGTCAGGTCAGAATGTTCGCTGACATAGCTCTCACAAACTCAAACCGCGAGGTTTGGCCGTCGAGAATAAATCCAAAAGGAGTGACAAAACCTCGTCAAACAGCACATATCTTACTTTGGTAATATTTCCAAGTCTTCCTTAGTATCCTCTCCCTTCACCTGGTCACCACACATAAATGTCACTGTTCAATATCAGGGACATTCATTCATTAAGACATTAACTGAGAGAAAAATCAACCAATCAGCAAGCCAAACCCATAATTAGGATGCCTTATGATTAACGCTTTGTACTCCCCACACTGTCAGACCGGCCCAAAGACCAGTACCCGCTCACGCAAGAGGCCATTCACTGGTCAACACACAGCGACCGCCCCATGACGTCACGAACCACTCACACTTGTTCTATTTATAAACCAAGGTTCTCCAAAAAGAACAACCACAAAAACAAAAACAGAAGACTGGAAATTGTCCGCCACTGTCCGGCAGGAGAGAGAAAGACACCTCAGTAAAGATAATAAAAAATTATATCAACTGACCAATTATAAAGTATTATATTCATTAGTCACATTCTTATCTCCCCAAGACACACGCACTCGTTAATTGTCGTGTAGTCAAACCTGTTCTAACGACCACCTGTCAAAGAGAATCACCTGTACAAACGACCACTTCCTACTGATTCACCCTCTCTCAGCTTTTTTCTTTTATATCGTAAAGGTACAGTTTAATATTATTCTCTTTAATACTATAACGACACTGTCCAAGACGTCTACCAGTTAAAATAACCTCGTTTCTCTTGACAATGGGTGGCTGTCTTAGAACATTTCGACTGTGTTTTTGGCTCGTTTTGATTTGTTCAAATGTAACGCACTACTAGACACAGAAACGTCAATTCAAACGTGAAAGACAAAATGGCGTGTCCACAAAACAGCTTAAACCTGTCGTTATAAGTCGTTTCTTATTCTTAAATTTGGTTACTGCAGAAGCCAGAACGAACGCAGTTTTACGGTACCCACCTCTTCCACAGACGAGAGACTGCAGGCAGAAAAGCAAAGAAGAAAAACAAACCAGCAACTTTATGAGTACTTAGAGAAGCACTTCAACATAATAACAGTCGTTATTTAAGGCCGGCAAAAGCAGGATACACATATATGAAAACGAGAGAAAGAAAAAAAAGGATCTATCAGTGGCA